GGACTGGAAACCAAATGCACTTAAAGCCTGGGCCAAGCTGGGACTCGAACCCAGACCTCATTGGTGCAAAGCGAGGAAAGAAATGCTACGCTAACCCACTCCCCTCTCACAACAAAATAGGTGACTCATAGCAGGCCTACTTTTGACTGACCTCGTAACAATCACAATAATTTTGGACATGCCCACATTTTGAAGTGAACATATGTTTGGACAGTGTGCATTGTGGCACGGCCGCATGGCAGAATCTGTGCTCATGTGGGGCCACGTAAGTAGGGGACACGAAATGGTCATTCTGCTGATCACAGGATTGTACGTCGTGAGACGCAGTGGAAATAGATTCGCAAAATTTGTCCCACAGGGCCCCTTCAGGAACCTTGGATTACGGGGTGCCAAGGGGTGTAAAAATCCCTATGGCTTGAAGAACGTTAGGTTCGGATGTCTGGGAATGCGGATTGGAGAGACGCAGCGGTAGGTCTGCGTCACGATGACAAATTTACCGTGACAGAACTGAAAAAGATAGGAAAACTGCCTGGAAAACATTACTTGATCGTTCCTGTCTTGGTACCTGGTAATGTAGTCTCGAATGCCGTAGGTTTAGACTTGTAGTGGTCATTAGAGATCACCAAGTAAAGCGTGGACTCACTTCCCCATGGCCTGGGCGGACCTATCGATGGTAGCCACAGTAGCTCCAGAAGGCTGTGACGGAGACTCGGATTGGGTCCGCGTCGGATGGCGTATTCACCAGGGCAATGATCCAGGAAGTTGACCCGGAAAGTGCTACCATTTGGATTACAGCTGGATGCCTCCTCTGTAGATATGTTGGAGGCTAGCCAGGTTGCATTTGCATGTGATGGCTGCTTGGAAAAATGGGGCAGTGGCTCATGTTCATTGAGGAGGGCATCTGTAGGACTCTCACAATACATGTATACGTATAATCGAAGATAGACAGGATGAGCATTTATAATATTTATAATTTATAATACAAGGTCATGCTTATGACAAAGAATTTCTTTTTGTTTTTAAATTCATCTATTTTCCATAACTGATAACATAAGGAATTTGTAAAGTTCCAAGGACCCTGTTATAACAGTGTTCCACTATGTTCAACAGAGTAGTTGTCTCCCAGACATTCTGCTTGAAGGCCCTAAATAAAGGGAGAGCGAGAAGGAGACATGGTCCAAGGGCCACTCCAGCCTTACAAGGGGGAGCGGTCCGCTAAGGCAAAGAGCCTACTTCACTTCCTCCGGAATTAAGGGAGGCTGACGGAATCCGGAATATATCATAGGCAGTGAGGACGCCAATAAAATCGATGTCATCTTCAACCAAAGACACGGTGACTTTGCTTCAACTGAAGTAAGGCCGTATTATAGTCAAGAGCCCGTAGATTAGCAGGTAGTTGAGCAGAGGACCGTCAGGCTGGAGTGGACTCGAACGCGTGCCAAGTTCTGGCTAGGGACTAAAACATCTCTACGCATGAATGATTAACGATCAGGAACACTCAGGAGTGCACTATGCAGAAAAGCCAAAAAGAAGAAGCCAAAAAAAGAAAAAAGAAAGAATGCCTTTTCCGCAATATTGCAAAAAAGTCAATTAAAAATTAAAAAGCTTGCACAGTCTAGTCAAGTGTTCACAAATGGTGATGACACAACCAACAGATTGAGACTGGCTCACAATATTGTTTTCTTGTTTCTTTTTTACAACAAGACTTTGAATCAACTGAGCTGCTCAGGTATTGTGAAAACAAATTTACTTTTTAATTTAATTAAGAACAAACCTACATACTTAACATACATATGTACTGTTACAATCCCAGTTGATCCAAATCCTTTTGTGTCTCCCTGAAAAGGTACGTATAAAAGACTCCGTAGTCATTGATTTCGCTCTCAGTCAGTGCCTATAT